TTATATTAAGTATTAACAAAAACACAAGATCTTTAAGTTCAGGTGGTGCAGTTTTAAGTACCAAAGTGAAAATTTGCAGATAATTCCCTACATCTGTTTTAAATTGTCTTACTAGAAGAAAAAATTTGATGTTAAAACTCTATTCCTTAAGTAGGATATAGCGTAATCCCATCTCTATTTTAAAAGTACAGGGACCCTGACCTTAATTTTCCTTTCTTCCCTTCCCTACCTTTCCCATGTTTCTGCTCCTCTGGTTAGGGAGTTGTGTTCCTTGTATTCCTCTTTTATTCATGCCATAATTCTCTTTTATTTCTATGTCTAACTTAATGTTCCCTTTGCATGCTAGCAGCTGCCGTGATGTATTTGATTTGTATCCTTATCTTTATCATGTACCCTGGTGAACTATGCAGTGATATTGTGAGTAGGAGTCCATTTTTACTATTTAAAAATGTTGTTCTGCCACCATACACTCAGGTTTTTGATTGTCTGTAGGCTTTTATAGTCCATTCATGTCACAGTGTTTATATGGTAACTATTGGTCCTAACTGCTGCATAATAATTCAGAGAATATATCCCGTATGGTATTCACATGTCGATCACACACATCAGTTATTTCTCACTGTGGATGAGCTCTAAGATACTTTCTTTAAATGCCCTCTGACCTGTTCCCTTAAAGATTGACAGTCAGTGTTTACTTTTGACCTAGCCAATTCCATTTGTTGGTTTGACTGGGAACTGTCAGATGGCAGAACAGAATATCTGCCTCCGGCCATATTCCCCTCAGCTCAGAGGCCCTTCCCCTATATGACACGAGCTCTTGGCTTTGCCTCTTGTTTTTATTTTTTCATTTGAGTGTAAAAGATACTCCATTTCTGTAACTTGCATTTTTCTGAGTTACTGAGAAATTTATAAATTTGTGTTCTTTTATATTAGTTACAATTCTTGGTATTTATTTTGGCTTTGTTTTTTGTAGCTTTCCTGTTTGTGACCTTTGCTCACTGTCCCTACAGGATTCCTTACCCTTTTCTTGGTGCTTTTAGGTTTTCCTTAATGACTTATCTTTTTAATTTTTAAAGTATCTTCTGATGTGTCATCCCTTCTTAATATTATCCATAGTGTCCTTCAATAAATAGAGCCCTTTATTTTTCAAATTAGAGCAACTTAAGATCCTGAAATCCATGAGATTTTACCTTTTGAATTATATATGGAGCTTTTTAAAGGAGTCTTCTTCCACTGTATAGAAATATTTTCTTCCATATTCTTGTTAGCTTTACCTTTTCAAATTTAACTTTTAAAACAGCCTGGGGTTTACCTTTGTATTTGATGAATATGTTATTTAAAAATCCAGCTTCCTTTTTTTCCTTATAGATAGGGTATATTTTGAGTTCCTTAATGATTCTGGTTCTTTAGAATTCCATAGAAATTGTGGATTAATTAATACAGAATTGACATTTTCGTAGTGTTAAATTGTATCATCCATAAGCCATGGAATAGTCCTGAATTTTTTTTTTTAATTTTTGCTTTGGGTATTTCAGTAGTGAGGTCAGATAGGTGTAAAAATTTACAGGATATAATCTGGGTATAGAGGTATATGTTTATAATCCCAGCACTCTGGGAAGCTGAGGCAGAAGAATCACAAATTTGAGCCCAGCCAAATGAAAGGTGACAATATAAGACATGTGTGGCGTGTATAGTCACCTTTCCTTTCGATTTAAATAAAACTGTGATGTAGTTTTGCTTTGTTTCACTTTCTCATTGTCCTAGAGTAACTTTGCCCCATGCTGACGGTATGTGCACTAAGAGAAGATGGCTAGCTGGTGGCAGATTAGTTTTGGGTACCAAAGGTTGCTCCTTTTTTCTTTTTTCTTATCTCATCCAGAGGTAATTAAAATTGTTTTAAAACTATATGCTTAATTGGAGGATTTTCTTTCCCTGGGTACTTCGGGCAGTGACTTCATCATAAAAATGTGAGAGATTTCCATTTGGGACAGACATAGGAAGCAGTTTCGTATTGCAGCTTTGCCATAGGATGGTGGTGTTTATTTCTTTTCTAAATTGTTTTCTCACTTTCAGCCCTCTCGTGTGCTGCTCATTTTGTTGGAAACCATCCTAATTTTGTCCCTTAGTTACCGCAGATACCTTTCACTGGTCTTCCTTTTGCTCCTTTTGTTCCCATTCAGTGAGTACTGCTACCGCAGAGGAGTCAAAGTCAGTTTTTGAAAACATAAGCCATGTCACAAAACCCCTTCCCTGAAAATCTTTCCCCTGCATTGGCTCACAATGCCCTTTGTTCAGTCCTCCATATCCCTGCTCCTCGCTGACTTACCTTGTCTTTCCTTTTCACTTTCCAGCCACCCCCCTGACTTCTGTTCCTGGAAACTCTCCAGTTGATTTTTTGCTCTATTTCCCTTGCCTGGAATCATCAGCGTTTGCAAGGCTGTTGACGCCTTTAGTTTCTAGTGCTCACCTGCTTCCTATTCCTATGAAGTCTTCATCTGTGTTACCCTCACCCACACCCACACCTTGCCTTGATTTTTATTAATTGAAGTGCTTTACAACTCTCTGAAGCTAATGCATGTACTTGATTGAATAGATCCTGTATCCCTTCCCCTTTCAGCACAGGCTCCATGTGGGCAGGAACTTGACTATTTCATTTCAATACTCACTGCCTAGTAAAATTCCTGGTAAAAATAATAATTAACACATATCTGGATAATGAGTGATTATATTTGTGAATGAAATAAGTGAACACACAACTAATGGAGCTATATTCTATATAACCATTTGTGTGTTGACTACTAACAAGAGTTTTTTGTTTTAATATGATTTAATATTTGATTTTACTATCTAATATTAAGATAGAAATTCCTAACAGAAATGGTCAATTTGTTTCTCTGGAAATGAGCTGTAAGATATTCAATCAAAAGAAATCCTTTTTGTAATATTTTTCTCTTTAGCCCCAGTGTTCTAAGACTGTGGCTTAAGTGGGATAACATTGTAATGATGTTGTCTTGGTGATTTGGTTTATATTTGGATGCATTTCTCTGGAGTAATTTCTGTGTAAATCTGCTTCCATTTACTAATCCCACAATCAAAGCAGAATTTGGGGATAAAGTAGGTTGAAAACTCACCTGGGTATTAGAAGTTTCATAGAGCCATACATTATTAATTGGGGTAGGGTGTGTTAGATATAAAATACACATGTGGTGTTACACTTACTAAGTTTGAAGATGATTATAACATTTTACTGTCACATTTCCTTTTGTTGACTTAAGAGTTCAATTTGACAATATTTAAAGGTGTTTTAATTTAAAGATAAAATTTTCTGTTAATTCATAATGTCAAGGCGCTATTCATTTCCAGTGAAATATGAGAGTCTGAGAATGTCAGTTGGAAGATAGAAAAAGTTTGGAAATAGCCTTGGATTAGAATCTGCTCTAAGGCTTTTGTATTAAATTGGCCAGTTCTTTAGTGCCTCTAACTCCACTCATTTACAGAAGGGCACAGACTTTATGCGCAGTACCGTACTGAGAATTCTGCAAGACGTCTGTCCAGTGCGGCATGATGTGTACCCGTGTTTGGTGTTGGGTAATTACGAGTTCAGTGCATTCCTGCTGTTTTTCATCAGAATCATGACTTCCAAAACACAAAATCGTAGTGTTTTCTGTGGACAATATAAGAATGTAGAGTACATTGTAAATTATCAGTATAAGCAACATTTGATTATTGTAAATGATGAGTATCAGCTACAATAATTCCAATGAAAATAGCAAATATTTATTGAATGTTTACCATGCTCCAGGTACTATCTTAAATACCTTGCACATATTGACTCACCGTTATTTAGTGTTTAATGAAACACTAAATCTTTCCCCTTTTTACAGATGAACAAACGAAGGCATGGGAGATTTCAATTACATTTACACAGGCAAATCAAAGATTTTACACTTTTTAAAAAAATTTTTGGTACTGGGAATCGAACTCAGGACATTGCGCTTGCCAGGCAGGTGCTCATACTGCCAAGCTATATCCCCGGCCCTTTTATATGTTTTTAATGGATTAAAAATTGCTACCTCAAAACCCCTTTCATTCTTCAGGTAAAGTCAGTAACCACCCAAATAAATCTCAGTACATAAAAAACAAAACAAAACACTGATAGCCACCTTTTTGCTGGGTGAAGATGCCCGTGTAAGGACTTAACGCCCCATCTTTTTGAGGGGAGGAACGGAGATAAGTAGGTAAATTTGAGGGCTTTGTTCTGTTGGAAAGCTATGTCTTCTGGGTAGTAGCTGTTGCTATGCCTTTTCTTTTTAATATTGAGAAATCATGCATATTTGGAGAGAAACACAGGGCACACATAAAATACATAGTTTTCTGTATGAGTGTGTGGTGACAGATTTTTCCTTCAAATGAACTCATTAGTAGGAAGGTTATAAAAGAACATTATATCTGTGCAGATCATATACGCTTAACTGTTTTAACATGCGTAATGTTTTAATGATATGTTGTGAGGCTCATTAAGCTTCTTCTTACCTTTGATCTTGTTTGTTTTTTTGCTTTACATCTCCAGATCTTCTCTGGCATTTATCAAATTTTTCATACTTGAATGGAATCTTTGTTTATTTTAAGATGGTTTCTTGCAGTTTGTAGTCCAGTACATATACAATAACTTCAGGCCATACAGACCCCTGTGGAAACTTGAAAGAGCTTGAAGTCTTTGTAGGTAATCTTAAGATAACATTGTTCTTGGCCTTAAGATAAACTGTACATGTATATAAGCTTTGAGACATAATAATTGTTTTAATTATTTTTAGGCTTTGACTATATTTAATCTCCTGGTTTGCTGAAATGTTAAGAGTATAAAGGAAATAAATTTTCCTTCTTAAAATTGTTTTATGAAGGTTTTCTCTCTGGTGGTTCTTCCTGATGGCCTGATATTATGTCATGTATAATTAGATTGACGCTCAGCCTGAATACATTTTTTTTTTTCTCCTTGCCAGCATGGGGTAACCTTGGAAATGTTCTGAAGAGTCAGAGCAAAATTTCTGAAGCTGAAAGCGCCTATAGAAATGCTTTGTACTACCGCAGCAACATGGCTGACATGCTTTATAATTTGTGAGTATGCCTGGCTTTCTCTTGTTTGGTTCACTTTTGAAACCTGCTGTGAAAGGGGACATTGATTTAACTGCTGGAAATGGAGATGATGTTAGCTGTTTTTATGGAATAGTCTTTTCATTAATCATGCCTCTGAGACTAGTAGGTGTATTTCTTTGTTTTGGGCCGCATCATCTGTATTCATGTGCATTGATGTATTAGGGCGGGTTTTTTTGAAGTAGTGTACCATATTATCATATAAAAGCTGGTTTAAATGTTCTTTGGTTCTTACAAAGTGTGTTCCACTGCTAGTGAGTTGGATATTAAGGTTTGTGACAGTTGTATAATTGATGCTTGGGTTATTAATACTACTAAATTTTGTTCTCATTACAATTGCTTATGTTATATAGAATATGGGCTCAAACAGGAGAATTAATGAATAATATCATGGTGCTAGAAATTGGGTTTCTTCTTTCTCTTCTTCATCCCTTTCCTCTGCTTTCATCTTCAAAAGTACTGATGATTATCATCAAAGTTTGAATACTAGAATATTTGACAATATGTGTGTATATTGAGTTAGAAAAATTCCTAGGGTTGAAATTGGTTTTGCTCTTTGAATAGAAGGTCCTAGAATGTATTGTGGGGTTTCAGTTGTTAAGTGGGAACTAAACTCATGTCCTTTCTTTTGTATTTAGGAGAATATTGTTTGTATGTAATAGAAGTCTAGTTTAAACACATAGGAATTTATTAACCCTCCTATCTAATAGTTCTTGTTGTTCACTAGATATGTACACAGTTAGATCAGGTATTTACATGTATTTTGTGATTCTGGTTACCTTGAGTTTGTTCTCTTCTTTGTGGGGCTCTGACTATAGTAATCGGAAAGATGACTCCTACCTTAAAGCTTGTAGCATCAAGCCTTTTTCTCAATTTCAGATGAAAAAAGAACATTTTTGTCTTGGTGTCTGTATCTCTTCTGGAAAGAATTCTCGTCTTAACTCTTCTGGTTTTATGTATGTTTTCTTGGATGAAACATTGCAAAATGTACAAAGAGCCATGAGATATTTCTACTGATAGTTCCTTCAGATTTGGAATAGAACAGAGAGAAACCAGTTTCCTATGGGAAAGTGACCATTTCACAGGCAAAATACCGTGTCTGTTGCTTGTGCTTAGCAAGTACTATATAATATTGGCAGTACCAAAAAATATAATCTTCAATTTTTAATATTTATTTATGGACCAGCTACCTAAATTTTTAGTACTGGATATATTTAAAATGTAGATTTTTTTTTTAAGTAGAAAGCTTAGTAAGTAACAATAAACAGAAAAAAATTTAGGTATTTCAGGGAAAGGAGACAAGATGAGCTCAGTGTAATTTCCGTTCATAACATTACTACCTTGTCTTTAACCAGCTAGACTTTACCAGTGGGATCTCCAACAGTGGACTCTCAGTCTAGTGGCTGAGGATGTGAATTAAGTTAGCAGATATGTTTTTGTGTTGTCTTGCACATAGTGTTTCACTTTTCCTTTGTTACCCAGAATTCTTCCACAGGGATCGCACCCTGTCCACTGTCCCCTGTCCCTCCAAACCCTCACTACTGTATTCGTTTCATGCCTTACCACATATAGTACCATTCTCTTGCTTGAAGCAATTTGGATTTGCACTTTATTCTTTACTAGAATGAAATATCCAGAGTCTTCTATAAAGGCTCATGTCCTCTTCTCCTAGATAAACACTATGTTATGATAATTGACTGCTAGTATTTTTATTTCATGAAAAAGATGTAGATGTTTAATGAATTACACACATTTTATTTTTAAGATAAAACATATTTAATATATGTTTTGTATATATTCATATTTTGGGCCCTTGAAGTATGGGATACCAGTTTTCTTCTGGTGTTCATTTTCCTGCATTTTGGGAGGAGAAAGTTAGTTGAACAGTTGACATCTCTTCTCATTGAATTTGTTTTTCTGTCTTTTATTCACAGTGTTTGAAAAGTGACCTGTCTCTTGGTAGTATATATTGGGAAGAAGCTAAAAGGAAAAGAAAGTGTTTATCCAGGCTTAAATTTTTACTCAGATCATAGATTTATTAATTAGGCAGTTCCTTGTAACTTAATATCTTTTTTTTTTTTTTTTTTTTGGTTTTTCTCTGGTACTGGGAACCGAACTCACGACCTTGCGCTTGCCAGGCAGGCGCTTTTTGCCGCTCAGCTAAATCCCCAGCCCCAACATCTTTATCTTATAATTTTATGTGTGAATGCTCTGTGGAAAATATGAATAGAGTTCCCCCAAAATAAAATAGACCATGATAACTTTTTATAACCCATAATATCATCCATAAGTTTGGTATCTTATGTTCCTAGAAGTTTTTTTTTTTACTTATTTACATAGGTAGGACAAAAAAACACAACTTTTACATAGGTAGGAAAAAAAAAAAAGACAAGTTTTCTTATGAGCCACTTAGAAGCTATCAAGAGAACCAACAATTTACTTTTGATATGCTATTTATATTACCTAGTTAGTTTTCTTGGACGTGCTTAGATTAGGGCTTATTCTCTCTCAACTCCTAAAATGAAAGGAATTTGGTTTGTTCTTTGGAGTAAACTTAACCTGATAATAGACCTGTGTGCAGTAGGAGGTATTAATCTTTCCTTTCATCAGTTATAGTTATGTCTTTTAACAATTCTGTGATGAATGCCTGAAATTAATATATCTATTTTATTAATTAACATAAGCCTCTCTGTCAAGTGAATTTTAAAAGGTTTAGGGAATCTTAAATTTCTTGTAGGTCCTTCACTTTGAATCAGTAAGTATCCTGGAATAGTTAAAACACATTTCATATTCCATAAACCTACTTGCTTTGTAAATTATTATGGAAGTTTCATATTGTTAGAATTTGCTATTAGGAAAATAGTCTGGAGGTATATATCAATATTTAACTTTAAAACAATAATTACTAATGTGATCTACTCTACCACTAGCCAGGCACAGGATCATTCTAAGTTAAAATAATCTTAAATTAACCCTTTTAGCTTTACTTTAATGTTTATATATATAAAATATGTCCAGCACTCTTAAATACGGCATCTGGATGTTATTTTACATGACAATGGAAGAAAAAAATGGATGACTTGGAAAAATATATAGTAAGTAATAGTATGAGTGATGTTGAGTTATAGCAGAAGTTCAGTGAACCCTGCCTTACAAAATTATAAAAATAACAAGGTAGTATTTTTCAGGAATGATATCAGGCCATATCTGAGAGGAACATATAAAGGATTTTATTTCATGTTTATATAATGTTGGAATCATTTCAGTTTTTTGTTTCTTTTGGGCCATTGCTTGAATTACTTGTATGTGCCCAGCACTAGTCTTAGTTCTTTATACATATTATCATGATTAGCCTTCTGGTAACATCTATATAAAGAGGAAGGTGAGCTCAGTGGTAATTTGATGAGTATTTTAAAAATAATAAGTATAAGAGTTATTATTTGAATCTACAATGTTCTAACTCTACATTCTTACAATTGTATTTTTCTTCAAATTGGCAGAGTGAAGAAGAAAAAATTAACTCTTCAATATATACATTTCAAATCCCACAAAACAGTTTATTCAAATCACATGTCCATATAGGAAAAGAAATGTTTGGTATTAACTCTACTATAGTAATGCAAATTAATTTGTAAGAGTTACTGAATTTATTAAACTCATGGTGTATAATATTAGATTGTCAGTGGGACTGTACATTGGTGATAAGACTAGATTTATAAAAGAAAGCATTTTACATTATTTAATTCAGTTAACTATGACATTACATTGTATCATTTTAGACCATGTTGTCAGACAGTAGTTGTGTAGTATGTAATATAAAACTATTTAATTCTACTCTTAAAGCACTAGATGTCATGCCCTTACTGTATAGCTTTTTTTTTTGTTTTTCTCCAGTACCGGGAACCGAGCTCACAACCTTGTGCTTGCCAGGCAGGCGCTTTGCCGCTGAGCTAAATCCCAAGCCCCACTGTATAGCTTATAATCAGCCTTTTATTTGTGTATTGACTCATGTCTAATGCTTCACAAGAAAAATTGTTTGAAGAGCAGGTGTTACAGATCCGTGTTCCGATGTTGGTTTTCTTTTCAAGTGTAATAAAATTTCAAAGACAAAGCAGTTGAGCCATTGCTGAGTGATTTACACTGTCAAATTTTATAAATACATAGTTGACTTTTAAGCTTTTAACTGTGCTACTCACCACTCTTTGAAATAAAAATTGATTTTTTGCTAAAAAATAGTTGATATCCTTTCATTGTTGTTGTAGATTTATCTCACCCTGTTCCAAATGATATTTAAAGAGGTACCGTAATCAATAGAATATTGGATATGGCATTAGACATTAGATTTCAGAACATAGATAATAAATTTTATGGAGTATAATCAATTCTTGATTATCTCACATAGTGCAAAGATCATTTCTGTGGAGAATAGAAATTTTGTTACCATAATTTAGTCATCCTTTTTGTTTTGTGTTGTGTGAGTCTCAGTAAGTTTCCAATATGAGAAGCTATAAAATGAGAAGGAAAATAAAACAATAAATTTAAGGGAAATAAAAGGAAAATATTAATGAGTTGGAATTTGGAAAAGCAATGGGCATTAATACATGACTGTGAGAACTTACTTTTGAAAGATCAGTAATTTTTGCAATGGTAATGTAGGACAGAATGGGAAAATCTCAAATATACACCATTGAACATGACAAGGGCTACAACCAGGTATACAGAAAGTTAAAAAATAAAATAATATTTATGAAAATCATAGTTACATAAATGCTTTTCTAGGAAAATATAAGTGAGCAATCTTGGCTCAAGAAGTGGTAGGAAATTTCAGTCAAAAACTCTGAAAAATTTTGAAGCCATATTAAAGAATTTTCTCAAGGAGCCAAGCCAACATATTTCACAAGTGACTTCTGTCAAATCTTCAGTGAAGTGATAATTCATCCACTAATTGCACTTCTCACTTCTTT